TGTTTTGCTTCTGTACATCATACTTTTCTTGTCAGCAAGAGAGTCGTGCCATCTAACTCCTTTTGGGGAGGGGGAATTTTTGAATGGAAATAACGTGACTTCCGGTGCAAATAGGAAGCTCGTATGTAGTTAATCGGGGCTTTCGGCTCCTAAGGTTTCCATATCTGGTCTCGATTTTTATCTATCTTTCTCCGTTCTCGAGATTAAAAAAGGACAGACAAGCAAAGAGCGGACAGTGGGAATTTATAGGTTACAGTTTTTTTCAAATTGCAGCCCAATCACAAATATTACCTGAATATTCTATCAAAAGTATTTTTGTATTGTTATTTTCGTCCTTTTCACCAAATTGCAACAGTTTGCAATTATTTCTCACTACAGTTTTGTATCTATATTCTCCACTGAGATAGCTACCAGCACTCATCTTTGCTGAATACAGGTTCACAGCGATAACCCAGGTAACGACAGGGCCAAACTTCTGGCAAAAAAGGCGGCCACTGATAAAGGGAAAATCTCCTACGACCGTATTCCACCTTCCTGTGTCTATCATCAAAATAACAACATCTAGCAGCAGCAGTGGACATCAAGCAATAAGGGTAGGCTTACCCACCAGTTTCTGCAAAATATTAAGCTTCCCCAACACATCATTCCTGATTTCATTCCATCCAGTTTATAGCCGGGCATGGGTGTTTCAGATCCTACTTCGCTAGGTTTCTTAAACAAGGAGATGGGACCTGCCCTTGCGACAATGTCTCCACTGAGGATCCACAATCATAAATGATGTGCACTGTTCTCCCACACCCGGAACCACCTCATCTCCACCTCAATCAGCGAGGGAGTTACATGGCCTTGCTCACCTGAAAACATTATCAACAAGAATATCTACATGGCTTTCGTAGAATTCACCAGGAAGGCTCACGAGAAACTGAAGTTCGACCAACGATAAACAACAACACCCACTAATACTCAGGACTAAAAAACTGCATCCCCAGAAGGCATCTGTTCTTATGATGTAGCTGTCAGCCTCAACCCACCCACCGGGTATGGCTACCTTTGTTGTCCTTTCTGCCCGTTTTGTCGTGTACTCTAGCGGTCTCTAGCCTATCGGATTACCTATCGCTGGAAGGTATTGTTCTCTATACTATTTACTCACAATCTATCATGACTCGGTCTCCTGTATGTAATCATCCATATTTCTCTTGTATTTTTATCTGTACTTTTAGTATTATTTACAATATAATATCCCAATTTGTCTCTGTATTTCCTACGTGTTTCTTTGTAAAACCATGAATTGTTTATTCCATGTATTACTTGTTCTGCCTGTATTTTTCTATTGGTCCTTATCAACGGACTCCTTCAAGCGCTTATGATCTCTCTTCTTCCCCCTTTCTTCTTCTCTTTCTCCTTGCCCTCTCCCCTAGACACCTGCCTCCCCTCCCTCCTTCTTTCAATGTGGCTATATCTGTGAGGACGGTCGCATTACCTTTCCTTCCTATTCCTATTCCTATCTATATTCTCCTCCTTTGTTCATTTTTTGGAAATATGAACGGTCTGTAATCTTTTTCAGAAATATTTGTACAATTACGAGCTGTACAACCCCCATTTTATACAAAAAAATAGAAAAAAAAAAAGACGAGGCCACTAACTTTAACGTGCGTATCAACCAAAAAAATGGCATCCAGTAAACATTCTCCCTGTCTAGTCACTCTAGTGTGTTAGTTTTATATCACCCCATATTCCCCCGTTTAGCCCTGTGGCTTCCCTTACCACATTTCCTCACCTAACGACCCAATCAGATCCGATTCTCCAGTCTTATTTGGGGGCCATTTTTCCTCCTCCTCACACCACAGTGATATAAACTTGCAGAGAAACAAATGAATTTATTTAAAATAGGGCTTTCGGCTCCCATAAGGGCCCTTGGTCCCTATAATGGACCATATAGCAAATTCCCTCCTCCCCTGTCGTCAGCTCTTACCCACTTAACTCTACCCAAGCTGGCCAGGCGATTTTCTAAGAAACATTTCCAGCATAGAAAAGTTACCATTGATAGAAAGTTTCACTTAAATCAGGCAGATTTTTTTTTTTCGGTGATTTTTCTAGTCGAAAATATTGTATAACAATATAACAAATTAATTTTATTATAACAGTGAATTTACTATTGTTTTAGATAGACAAATAAAGTGTACTAAGTAGCGATAATATGATTTTGATTGTTAAATTGGAAGTAATAAATTGTGACTAACAAGTTAGAATTAAATGACAGATTTATTGATCTAGGGATTGTCAACAAGTAGTTAAATAACTACAACCCCAAATAAACAGAACGGGAGTATTTGAAAAAAATTGTTTCTTTTACTATGTTTACATGTATTCGGAAGATCTATTGATAATTTTTGGAGATAAACACATGGCAACTTTCCATCAGTGAAATAAATCTGTCATTTAAAGTTTTTTGCAATCCCTCGTGTAAATGTTTTGACTTTTTTCCCCTTCTTTTTTTCCCTTTCAATTGGTATTTTCAGATTTTTTTACATTTTTTCCTCCCCTTCTTTCGATAGCTTCTGGGTCAAATACGCATTTTAAGTTTTACATTTTTTTTTTTTTTTTTGTTTTTTCGGATATTTATATAAATAAAATAAATTGTTTTTTTTTGCAAACGATTCTAACACACAATTTATTTAGTATCGATGAAAGATGGGAAGTATCATCACCCGAATCGAGATGTAAAATGTCCACCAGTAGCTTAGTGGATAGAACCACCGAACACTGGTTAGTCGCGGGGCCTACCCAATGTCTTTGCGTGTCTTAACACCTAAACGAGATCCAGTTTCCTATAGAGAGTCCTACTGGATGACATTCCCTTGCCATTTTCCATTAAACCAAACCAAACCAAACAGAAATGTAGAATTAGTCTGGATGGAATTCGAACTCGGATCCCTCGAGGCAATAGTATTTAGCAAAAATTGGTCACACAAAGACTGCAGAGGTGTAACCTCTGCAGTCTTTGTGTGACCAATTTTTGCATTTTTGTCTGGGTTTTCTTAGATTTTTCGCTTTCTAACGCCTCTACTTTGTGATTTTTTGGAATTCTTTATTGTGTTTTCTTCAATTTTCGTCATTTAGTATTGTTTGAAATACAAGAAACGAGTGAAATATATTCGTACCACGTTTATTACCTAACCACAACAATCACACATCCACAATATTCCATTCTGTTTCGTGATGTCATTGCCCATCTTTCTCCTAATAATCTTACAATTATAATAATAAATAATTTAAAAAATCGTATTAAACTATGAGTTAATATACTCGAGTATATAGGTACTTTGTTTAGACGAGAAAAAGGGTACGTGCAGAGCAACCGAGAGATTCACTTTTAGTGATGGAAGAGAAGCGCCATTGTGGCTGCAGTTTTAATAAAGTGCTAATGGATGCACTCCAGCTGTACACAGTTCAATGAATGACGTGCACTCAATGGCAACTTCTTTTTTTTTTTTTTTTAAGGACGGATGTCCCACTAGCCGTGTTCGCATTCTGCAGGTTCAAAGATCAACGTCCGAGTGAAGGTGGGAGGGGAGAGATTTCTAACGTTTGTCAAGGACGAAAACCAAACAAAATTAAAACATAACTTAACTCTTATCTGTGTATTACGTATAATGACTATTGGAATTTTTCTTTTTCTTTTTTTCCTCCCTCTTATATATGTAAAGAAATTAAGAATTTCTTTATTCGGAGAAATGTACTAACGACTTGATAAGCTTCTAGAATTTAGGTCATTCTATTTACTTATTACTTCATATAAAAAGAGTGTTATTCTATTAACTTCCTGCCTGGATAATAGCATATTAGATATTTATTTTGTAATATATTTTAAAGTCTGGGAATTTAGTAAAAACACGAGAACTTAATCGATTAAATGTATTTCATTTTAACTCACCCTCAAATACACTCAAATTTCATCCACTTCTAATTAAGATAAAAGGTTGAAACTTTGACGACATACTCGAGCCCATTTTAATGACTTTTTTAGGGGGTGGAATCCCTTAAAAAACCCCTATAAACATAACCGAAACCCTATAAAAGTGTAGAATTTAATCGCGTGTTTTAAGTGTATTTTAGTGTGACGTACGAGAGATTTTGGGAGGAGAAGGGAGAGAGCCACCCCCAAATCTCCCAATAGAAGCATTTAATACACAAAAAATAATAATAATAATAAATGATTTTTGATGTGGTTCTACGAGATTGCTCTTGAACCGGATAAGTTTGCAATGTAAACATTACATAAATAGTATTTAACTGCTTCTAATTATTTATTTACCCAAGAGTATACTTAAACGTTTATATCTACTCATAATTACATTGCATAATAAGTTTGTACAAAAAGTATCGATAGTATCTTTAAGAATTTTGTTTTTATTTATTTAATATAAGAGCGAACTTTGACTTTTTATATTGTAATTATGAGCAATAATCCTCTCGTTAACATACCAGAACGTTTCATAAAGCCTGATCAATGTCCGTTTTGGTATACGAAAGGTCAGGAATTTATACATTTATCTACGAAAAATGACGTAAACTAAGAGATCAGCGAAATAGAAAACCGATTATGATGAAATATTTTATTACACTCGATAAAAATGGTAAAATTTATTTAATATTTAAAAAAAATGTAGGCGTCAGACATTTATTTTTTTTACTTAATTAAAATGCATCAATAACATTTATAAATAACAAAATTAATTAGCCAATTAGCTGATAAATTTGCTTTAAATTAAGAAACCGCACACCTGAATAATTAGTAAAACAATAAAATAAATCACAGCCTAATAAGAGTTTCGCATGGCTCAATTTTTTTTGCCTCCTCATCCTCCTCATCCTCTTCTTTCTCCTCTTCCTTCTCCTTTTCCTCCTCCTCTTCTTTCTCCTCTTCCTCCTCCTCTTCTTTCTCCTCTTCCTCCTCCTCCTCCTCCTCCTTTTCCTCTTCCTCCTCTTCCTCCTCCTCCTCAACACATTTTTGCATCTTCAACTTTACAAATTTGAATTCTCTGAGTAGTCCTGTATAAAAAATGGCATGTTTTATTGGTAAGACATTTCGATTTCGATCTTGCACTCGATCTTTGATGATATTGATTGAAATTAACGTTCGGTTTCCTTGAACAGCAGTGTAAACGCGACCGTTGCAATGGATATCTGCAACATTGCATTCGTATTAATAACAAAGGATTGACGTGTTTACGATGAGTTTTATCTCTCTCTTTTGTTTTATTATAAACATCAGTTCTAAAATTATTTTTAGATTTCATATCGTTGACTTGTTTTCTATTTTCTTCCGTATAAATATTTGGTCTTATTTTATTTTTTCGCGTGTTTTTTATGATTTTTAATCTATGATTTCTAGCATTGTACAAATGCCTAATTTGATTGTTTGACGTTTGATTACGTTGCAAGAATAAATTTCGATTACGGATCAAAATCGGATAAATTTCGGAGCGATTTTGATGATGATGTTGATGATGATGATGATTAGAGGCAGAAGAGGTATTGTGACGAGTTTTAGAGAGGGATGGACGATATACCGTAGTGTGTAATATACTTTCGGCTGTGTTTCTCGATCTTGAAGGTATTAATAGATATTGAGGATATAAAATATTTTCGACGGTGATGTTAGGGTATTTGATATCTGGAAATAAATGAGTCGTTTGTTTAAAATTGATGGATCTCTTAGAAGAATTTTGGACGTCGTATGGTATCTCATAAGTTTTCGTTTCTGTGGGGATTTTTCTTAATTTTAAATCAAGAAATTGAGAAGAATGACTTAAAATATCACTCGACGAACGTGATGGGACGTTAGAAAATAGGCTACTCATACGTTTCTGTGAATTTATTGGATGAATAACGTACTTCGTTTCGGTGACGGGCGAATAAGGAGCGGAGTTAAGTGGTTGGTTTTGAAATCGTCCAAAAGTTTTCGCGTAAGAAGAAGTTCCGGAGAATTCATTACGTAGAGAAGCTTCCGATTTACCTTTTTGATTTATATATCTAGCAGTAGCATTTACTTCACCTTTTAATGAATGAGTCTTAGATTTAATTCGAGTTATATTGGTGTGGGTTCCGCTAGAAGAGAAGTTACTACGAGCTTGAGATTGAGCTTTACTTAATTTGTGATTACCTTGAACTCGTGCGATTGAATCTCCTGTTGGAAAACTTAGAGACGATTCTGCAGACGTGTTACCAGTTAAAATTGAAGCTTTTGCCATACTTTTTGCATTACCTTCTCCCGGTATTAATGCCGATGCATCAGCTGCTGTTTCTTCTACGTTACCCTGTACCTTATTATATAAATTAACGTCACTCGAATCTAATCGAGATAATGCCGTAAAAGCACCTTTACCTAAATTATTCCCAGATACAAACGAACGATGACCTCCAATCTGTGCATTTCCATAAGCAGTCGAGTTATTTGAGTTGGTCTTTAAATGGACATCGATGTTTACTCCCTTCTTATTTGTAGTTTCGGATTTTTTATGGTTCCATAGTTGATTATTTTTTGGTAATAAAATATTCTGATTAAGCCCGGGGATTATTATCATTCCTGTAAAACTATTGGTTTCATTGGTCGAGTTCTGGTCGATTTGAATCGGTAACCATTTATGATTCTGTATGAAAGAATGCATACCATCTTTGGTTTGCTTATCATTTATTTCTTTATTTATCTGTCCTTCGTTGATGTTACCATTATAAGTCGATTTTATTTGTCCAATAGGAAGTTGTAAATGATAACCCCCATTGTGTTTAATGTGAATATTGGATTGTTGAGATAGGGGAAGTAAGATAAAGACCGGAAATTGTGAGGCGATTTTACCATCTGCTTCGTTTTTTTCGTCCACCTGATGAGAAAAAGTTTCTTAATTTTATTTCTAAATAAATAAAAATTTCATATATTATATTAATAAACTAACCGATGCATCCTTTATCCCGTAGCTTCCAATTGTATAAGTTTCGTGTCCGTAATGAGCGTAATTTGTGTTGTGTTGACCGTAATGACCGTAACTACGTTGTACGTAATGACCAGCTTGCCTTTTAGATCGAACTAAAACGTAAAAAAAAAAATTAATTACAATTATTTATATAACCTTTAAGTATATGCAAATTGTTTTCTTTTAGTAATGTAATTTATAGCTTAACGATCTCATTTAAATGTTTAATGAAAGCTTAATGATTGTTTAATGAATGCTCTCGTGTAAAATATATTACACTTACGATGCTGATTATATTTATCTTCTATTAAATACGTCTGCATCCCTCTACAAAATCTTGCTCCTCTTATTCCAACGAAATTCTTCATTTTACTTGGAAGAATTGCTTTATTATTAGCATAAACGGTTATTAAACTGGACGAATCGATAATAAAATTCTGTAAATATTTAAAAAAATAATTAATTTTCTTAAGTTTTAATGTTAAAAAAAAACAACATTTACAATCGAAATGACCTAGATTTTAACAATTTATATGCTTTTTAATTCAAATTTTGTGTTGTTTATAAGTAAAAGAGATATATAAATATAAAATATATAGGCCTACATTTATGTGACACATTTAGTTTTTATCTGTTCCATGCCAAAAAAAAAAACACTAACCTTTTTTCTCTCAAGCTTTGCCCTCTCTCTCTCCAATGTCTCATAGGTCAATCTTGCTATATAACACTCTCGAGCTGTCAGTTCTTTGTATATAACGACACCCTACAAGCAAACACAAAAACAAAGTCTGACTAACAAAAAAAATCACACCTTGAATTAATCAACAGTCATCTATTCTTTACATCTGCCATATGTATAGAGAGTAGTGTACAGTTTAAAGAAAACCTCCTACATAATTTTATCCATCAAGCTCAAATTAATTTTTCTATTTTTATAAAAACTTTCATTAACCCGTCTGTCTGTCTGATAACTGACAGATACTCAACCTACACTTAATTTTTCAAAATACGCCTCTTTTAAGTGATACATAGCTTTACTTGTTCTAACTAATTAGTCTATAATAAACTGACCTGTTTGAAATCGTAAAACGTTACAGAATTCCTTCCTCCTTTATCAGAATGGAGATTCATTACGTATTCTACCTATAAAGTAATATAAATAAATAAATAAATAAATATATATATATATATATACAATTATAAAATCAATTGATTTATCAATAAGTCTTACTTACTTGTCGAATGTCATCAAATTCTATTCGTATGGGTATCATTTCATTATCGACTTTATACTTGATGCTGTATGCCTTAAACATTAAAACATTACTTATTTTAACTCTATAATATCATTAAAATGTAGTTATATATTGTTTATTTACTAAGTAAACACAAAAAGAGTGGGGGTGCATCCCTTTGCCAAGAGGCAAAGGGATGCACCCCCACATTCTTTACTGTGTTTAATTACCCCCACTCTTTACTGTGTTTTATTACCCCCACTCTTTACTGTGTTTTATTACCCCCACTCTTTACTGTGTTTTATTACCCCCACTCTTTACTGTGTTTAATTACCCCCACTCTTTACTGTGTTTTATTACCCCCACTCTTTACTGTGTTTTATTACCCCCACTCTTTACTGTGTTTAATTACCCCACTCTTTACTGTGTTTAATTAACCCCACTCTTTACTGTGTTATAATGCACCCCACTCTTTACTGTGTTATAATGCACCCCACTCTTTACTGTGTTTAATTACACCACTCTTTACTGTGTTTAATTATCCCCACTCTTTACTGTGTTATAATGCACCCCACTCTTTACTGTGTTATAATGCACCCCACTCTTTACTGTGTTTTATTACCCCCCACTCTTTACTGTGTTTAATTACACCACTCTTTACTGTGTTTAATTACCCCCACTCTTTACTGTGTTATAATGCACCCCCACTATTATAATTATTGCTTAAAATTATACTACTATACGAGGTCAGAAGGGCTGTTTCAGTGGGGGGGGTAAGTCACCCGTTTGTATCCTACCAGCGGACACGCGTGTTAAAAAAAACAGTTGAATAATGGAGAAAAAATTAGCAATGGAATATTTACTTTCCAGTGATGCATGCCGTGTTTGCAGTAAAACTATCTTTTTATTTGAATAAACAATAAATAGACGTTCATCCGGCAGCATCCCTCCTCTTATATATATATAGGCCTATATATATATATATATATATAATGTAGCTATTAACATTCCTATTTATAATTTGAGATCATCTTTCGAACATCTCGTATTTCACAATCTTAACGTTTCATACTCATTGATTTTACGAGTGGATCTAAAAGCGAAAAATATCAAAATTTGTTTAAATAAACAGAAAATATGACGAATATAACACTTGTTCATTGTTAATTTTTACTTCCGATTAATTTACAATGACACGAGAACCACTTTTTGATAGATCAAGTACCACTTGACATACACTTTGACGAATATTTTTCGATGCTTTAAAACTTCGATAAAATATAAAATATGTTCGATTGTCACCGTAACACTTCAAAGTATAACCCCGCAACGTCCGAATAACATAACTCCATGCATTTTTTTCTTTTTTTTTCGCCATTTTGAAAGCTTGCCATCGATGAAACCCCCTCCCTCCCTTTTTTTTTAATGGTTTCTGTATCCAAAGTGGAATTTCAATACTTTCTTGCAGTAGAAAGACTCTGAGATCAATATACCAAAGCTTAAAAATACTTTAATTTAGTTAAAAGATATATAAATAACATATTAAGTACATAAATCCATTAAAATTATTAAGATAATAATCTTATACCCGTTATAATTTCACTTCAATTATTAAAGAATACAGTCGACCCCCTTATAACACTGTTGATAATTCCGTTTTATATAAATTCCATGTTGTACGAGTCACTTAGATTTTACAAATACGTGAGCCATTCACAACCCGGCACACGTATTTGTAAAATTTAAGTGACTCGTACAACAAGGAATTCATATAAAATGGAATTATCAACAGTGTTATAGGGGGGTCGATACAGTACACACTTATATTAACACTAGTGTTTTAATTACATTCTGGAAGGGTATCGAAGTAGTAAAATTAAAAAGAATTTAACATTAATTTATATACTCACCTGTCCTTTGCGATGATTCGATTCGGTTATTTTTGCAATTAATAAAAGGAAAAATAACCATAACAAATTTCGTTTTGTCATATTATTATTATTATTTTTCTAACGAATTTAATCGAGCGAATAACACGTTATTTGCTTAAATTTATGAAAAACTTTTCTTAAGTTAGATCGACAACAAACGATCGATGTCTCGGGTTCCATCAACCAACAAACGAAGACCATTTAGATACTTCTGTCACGTGATCGTTTTCCACCTCTTAGCATCCAATGCACGTTGACAGTTTTTTTTCCCTCTTCCCCTCTTCCCCTCTTCCCCCCTTCTTCTTTCTTGTATTCGATGTTAACATGCTCAAATATGTGCAAAACACGTGTTATCTATAGACCGATTTGGCATAGAAACTAAAGCCAAATATCTATTCTTTTTTTTTCTTCTTCTTCTTCTTCTTCTTCTTCTTTTTTCATAATGGCAATTAAAGTTAATGAAGTCAATTTTAACAACGTTTTTATCTTTTAAATGTTTAAATAATTTTACGATTAATTTTATTTAATTTTTAATTAATTCTAAAACTGGCATTCCTTATTTTTCTTTTAATTTAAACGAATTATTAAGCAATTTTAAAATTAATAGCATTGATTTCAATGGACGGAGGGGGTCCAAAATCCTATCAGGGAAAGGTAGGGATTTTTTTTTTTTTTAACATAGAAACATTAATGGGCCTTCCTTCTCTATTTATGCCCTATATCGAACCTTATCTAGAATCCCAAATTCGTAACTTTTGTATAGAATAAAGCTTTTTGATTTCTTATTAAAAAAAAAATATTAAATAATAATCATTAATAAATAAATAAAACAAAGAGAAAATGAAATTAAAATACGAGTTATCCTTGTAGGATAGCGAATCTCAAGGTCAATAACTGATATGGAAGTGGTGTCACTGATCTCGCCCATTTTGATAAGAATTTTTTTAGATTCCAAGAATCACGAAAATTACTTTTCAGATTTACACATTGTTTCTGTTGCACCTGCTAAAGATAAAATAAAATCCCCAATTTTATGTCACTTAATCGAGATTTTGCATTACTTTTTTTTTTATCTATAACACATAAATTTAACAGAACTCACACTACTCTGCATAGTTTAAGTGTGTATAACTTGATAAGTATAAAATAAATTATAGTATTTAGTAAATTCTGTATAGAACCATTAACCGAGAGCTTGTGTGGGGCCTAGAGAGTAGAGGGTTTGTGCTCCAAAGGGCAAAAGTGGCCCTTTGGAGGGCCACTTTTGCCCTTTTTTTAAACAAATGGAATATGTATAATGTTTCTTTATTAATAAAGATTAGTCAAATGCTTTTTTCTAATAAAAATAGTGGATAGTAATCATTGTAGGGCCCTAAACTTTCTCCAGGTCTGGAGAAAAATCCCCTTTTCGNAATGTTCCTAATTGGATTTTTCGCTAGTGTAATTATAAGTATGGTTTTTGAAGGCTTTTGTACAAAAAGTCCGAAAGTAGGCTTAGAGAAAATCGGGTGGTAATATGGAACCTTACTGTATATTTTCCAAAAAATGCTTTAATGTAGCCAAAAACAAATAGGAAAGTACAAAGAATGTTAAATAATTACAAAATTATTTACTCCAATGTATTTTATTGCAAAAATGATTTAATAATAATAATAATAATAAAGAAATGTACAAAGAAGAAGCCAATCATTTACAAAAATCACAAATATAATGCTCCTATAGTGTTAGGTACCTATTTTTACTTTTTTCATTTTCCTTCTATTTTTTCATTCATCTACGACATACTTTTACAAAAGTTAGACGGGTTCCATATTAAAAGCATCAATGGGGTTCGTATTTCACGCATCGCTATCTTGAATTAACTTATGTCTGTCAAGACCAAATTTTAAAAAACGTGAACATCACACAGATTAATATGTAGCCCTAAGTTTCTGGAATGGAATACATGCATCAGTGAACCTACAACTACACTATTTATATTTTAGAAATAATTAAATTCACTTACCATCCAAAACTTTCGAATTTCGAAAACACAAATATGCTAATTCACTATGGATAACCGTTTAACTGAAGTAAAATGGGTTTTCCCCTTGCTATGGATGTCTGCCTAGTGTAGTTCAGCCACAATCCGCTACAGTTCGCCTTTATTATCAGTTTGAAATGGAGGGGTTCCATAATACCACCTTCTCCCTATATAGATAAATACATTAACAAANTTTTGTATAGAATAAAGCTTTTTGATTTCTTATTAAAAAAAAAATATTAAATAATAATCATTAATAAATAAATAAAACAAAGAGAAAATGAAATTAAAATACGAGTTATCCTTGTAGGATAGCGAATCTCAAGGTCAATAACTGATATGGAAGTGGTGTCACTGATCTCGCCCATTTTGATAAGAATTTTTTTAGATTCCAAGAATCACGAAAATTACTTTTCAGATTTACACATTGTTTCTGTTGCACCTGCTAAAGATAAAATAAAATCCCCAATTTTATGTCACTTAATCGAGATTTTGCATTACTTTTTTTTTTATCTATAACACATAAATTTAACAGAACTCACACTACTCTGCATAGTTTAAGTGTGTATAACTTGATAAGTATAAAATAAATTATAGTATTTAGTAAATTCTGTATAGAACCATTAACCGAGAGCTTGTGTGGGGCCTAGAGAGTAGAGGGTTTGTGCTCCAAAGGGCAAAAGTGGCCCTTTGGAGGGCCACTTTTGCCCTTTTTTTAAACAAATGGAATATGTATAATGTTTCTTTATTAATAAAGATTAGTCAAATGCTTTTTTCTAATAAAAATAGTGGATAGTAATCATTGTAGGGCCCTAAACTTTCTCCAGGTCTGGAGAAAAATCCCCTTTTCGACGGCCCTATTAACTATGGTTTCAGATAGAGCCATCGAGGGAGGAGAAGATGAGGATTTTTCTCTAAACCTTAGGGAAAAATTCCCATCTTCTCCTCCCTCCCCTTACGAGCTAATGTAATGATTCCTACCCAATAAAATTAATGATATTTCTACTAAAATATCAAATCTTTAAGCGTTTTATTAATAAAAAAAGGAGGCCCCTCTCTATCCCGGGCCTCATACAAGCTCCCGACGTGCCCGATTACAAACAAATCATAAAAATATCATTTTTTTTTAACCTGTGTAAACCAGAATAGCACGCGTATCGAATTATATATATATTTTTTTTCCGTTTTAGACAGGTTTTTATCGTTTAATTTTGAATTTATTACATAAAAATTCATTCGTATAATGTATTTATATCTAAATTTTGATAATTTACAATCAAGAAAATTATAATTTAGGCATTTTGTTACAGAATGCATTAAGATTTTCATCTGAACATCTGCTCGTTCGGAAATTTTGAAAGCATCTAAATACCAGATGCAGTTTTCTGAGAACTGAAAGGAATTTTTGTAATAAAAAAATAAATATAATCTAATTTAAAACGATTAAAATGCTTCATTTAAGATATATTTTTTCGTATTTCAGTATAAAATGTATCGAATTTCATGACATTTAAGCAGATATTGTATGGGATTGTGGGAAGAGTGGGGCCCCCTTTCGCCCCTTAATGGATCCCCCTCTTGTTTTTATTTTAAAAAATGAAATACGTAGAATGCTTCTTTATTAGTAAAAAAATCTGTCTTAAACAATGACATGTTTGTTACTAAAAATAACATTAATTTATAGGGTTAGGTACCGTTATGGGCCCTAATTTTTCTCGGGGATTAGGGAAAATTCCACGTATATGTATAGTATTATATCTATAGTATAGTACAGGATAGTAGGCCTACAAGCAGTGACAGATCTACCGTAGATGGAAACTATACAATTGAAAAGGGGTCTAAGTAGAGGGGGGAAGGTAGAGAACAAAGTATACAATCATACAAATTAATTAAATTACAAAATATTGGGTAATATCGGTATTCAGAAGGCCAGAAGTGTACACAGGAAAGCCATTGTATGGACCCCGAAATTTGAAATTCCGCTGCCTAGTATAATGTAGTATAGTATAGTGTGTATTGTAGTGTTAATTACGTGTTTACCATGTAATTATCACTAATTAATTACAGTTTAAGGGAAGGAAGGGGATTGAGAAAAGTACTATACATCATTGTACACGATGGGAGTGGAGCGAGGCATCGTCTAATAGACTTTTTTAGTAGTATTAGGGGCATACGAATTTATTCTTCACAAATTATTGTAATTAATAGGGAGAAAGTTCCCCCCCCATAAGTGCATCATAATAGACAAAGAGTGAAGGGGGGGGTTAAAATTGACTTTAATATCATACAATTAATGGACTGTCTGATTTATATAGGTGCTCAAAAGGTTAACTGACTTTTAGGCCACCCTGTATATGAAAATATATCTTATTTTTTCACATTTAAGACAAAAATATCTTTCCTTGTCTATTTATTACTTATAAAGTTTAAAAGAAAGAAGAAGAAACTGATAAATAGCAGAATAAAAAGTTAATAGGTCTACATTTTTTGAAAGTATTTTCTTAGCTTTTAAATTATATCAATGGCCAGAGTAAGTATTTTATAAAAGAATTTTTCCTGTTGGAAAGAAGAATGTACAGTACATTATAAAATATAAAAGCTTACGTGACTTTCGATGGTTAAGATTACAATCTTCTATTAAAGAAACTTAAGAATTCTCTCTCTCTCTCTCTCTCTCTCTCTCTTTTTTTTAGTAATAAACAAACTACAAAACCTGTAACATGCGGAAATGGATAGCCTACTCAAAGAAGATGGATTAGGGTATTTAAACCTGCAGAAATTATATACTTAAATTGAATTACAGGGGAAAAAAAATACAACTAAATGGTATTTTATTTATCATTTTTTGAAGAAAATTAAGCAAGGAATTGTTTTTATTTGGATTATCTTTTTTTACTTTAATTAATTAATTACAGTCACACTCGAGCGCGGGCAGGAAAGGGTTTTAATTAATCTTTAACAATCTTTTTAAAACACTTTTTGCCTGTGGGCACTAAGAAGCCCGCAATAGGGTAGTTAGTCGGATGCTGAGAGACAAGCCCCGACTCATATACAACGGATTATCCTCAAAGAATTCTGGAAATTTTC